ACTCCATCTTCAATGATTTCCAACACATCCTGAAAGCCAAACACAGCCCACATCTTGATTCGCCAATCTGCAAAATGCTTGCCATCAAACATGGGTAGTGATCCCTGAATTCCTCCAATTCCAGCCATCCTTTCTTGCAACAATCTTTCTGAATCTTTGAACTACACACAGTCAAAGAGCCCTTCTTTTTGCACTTCTGGATACACACCTCCAGATATCAACACAACACCAGGGCAACAGCCTAAGCTCTGATACCATATTAGAAAAAGGAGGGGTAGAAAAGTAACTACACACCCAATTAATATCTTCAGATATTAAAGAAAATAAACATGCACGTGAAAGAGAGAGAAGTAACAGAGAGTGATGTTTCTAGAGAGAGATCAGAGCTAGAAGCTCTGCTAGGGTTTCTCCAACGTCTTCCTCAGACCACCACACTCACCGCTCATCTGAGGAAATCACACACACACAAGGTTCAGACCGGCACACCCACAGAAGACACTCAGGTACTGTAATACTTTCAGAACAAATTTTTATTGACATCAAACAGTATGATTTACAGCAATTATATAGTACCAAACTGTAACAGAAAACTAACTCGTTTATTTTTGTTTAACCTAATAAATACCGGTTTCATTCTTTTTCTTTTCTTATTTATATACTATAAGATTTTGTCCGGATCTCTGCCACGACGCGCAACCCTCATGTTAACATGAAAATCAGTTCTAGTTTAAAATTATTCTTATTTAAAAAGATCATCTCCTAATTTTAGATTCCAGTTTCAATAAATAGTCTGTAAAAATATCCTAAATATTCTAATAATAATAAAATGAACACTGCCTTCAATTCAAACCCTTAGTAAAGTAGGGTTATGAATGCCTCAAGTATTGTCCATCAATTCATTTTAACCAACTTTCATCTTATCTTTAACTCTTAGCCATAGCAAAGCTTTCTAATTATCACTCACGTTAAGATTATTCTTTGATGTGCCTGCAGACATTTTTATGAGTTTCAAAGATGAAGAAGGAAAATTCAAAGCTGAAATTAGCAACGATGCACAAGGAATGTTAAGTTTGTACGAAGCATCATACTTGACCTTGGAAGGAGAAAGTCTTTGGGAGGCAAATGCATTTTCAAGAACACATCTGATGAATTTAATGGAAGAAAGATCAATGGATGCGAAAATGGCAGAAAAAGTTAGGCATGTATTGGAGGGGCTTCCCTATCATAAAAGTTGTTGTAGACTAGTGGCAGTACACTATATTAACACATATGATAAGACAGAACCGCATAATCTCTTACTGTTAGAACTTGCAAAGGTGGAATTCAACATGGAGCAGTCATCATATCAAAACGAGTTAAAAGAATTATCAAGGTAAAGAGAAATAGACAAGCAAAAAGAAAAATTATACACATGTTAAAAGAAACTATGTGCATAAAAAATCATACCTAATAGAAAAAGTGTTTTACTTTTAAGATAATTACTAGAATTTTCTTTTCTTCTGTAACGGTCTTTAAAAATAAAAATAACCATTTTAATGTGTTGTTACTTAGGTGGTGGTCGGACATTGGCCTTTCAAGGAAATTAAAGTTCGCTCGAGACAGATTAGTAGAAATATTTATTTGGACGGTAGCACTTTTTCCTGAACCTCAATCTGCTATATATCGCAATGCAATCAGCAAGCTAACAATATTAATCCCATACCTCGATGATATATATGACATCTACGGTACTTTGGGTGAACTGGAGCTCTTCACATATGCCATTGAAAGGTTTGTTCATCTGAGCTTGAGATGGAATTCATTTTACTTTATGCTTAGGAAAAGTTTTAAAATGTCTTATTTAATCATTTAAATTTTAATGCATGTGCATGGACACAAGATGGAACGTGAATTCCATAAACACTCTTCCAGACTACATGGTATTGTGTTTCCTAGCCATCTATAACACTGTTAATGGGTTGGCTTATGACATCTTTAAAGAACGAGGCACAAATTGTCTTCCTTACCTCACAAAATCTGTATGTAACACAACACAACACTTATTTCTGTCTTATTTATATTCAGTATAACTAAAATTAAAATGTCTATTTGATTATTCGATAGTTATCTGATTTGTGCAAAGCATACCTCCAAGAAGCAAAGTGGTTTCACAACAAAATCATTCCACCATTCGATAAGTTCCTAGAAAATGCAAGGATCTCGATCTCAGCAGGGTTTATTCTTACTCATATTTACTTTTTGATCAGCAAAGACATCACAGAACAAGTGATTCACTCTCTAACTAATAATGACCACGACTTGTTGCGCTCTGTATACACCAATTTTAGGCTAAGCAATGATTTGGGAACATCAACGGTAATTTTAACTTTGTTTGGCATAACCTTATTACGTAACTCATATTGATCCAACTTTATGTCTAACATGTTGTTCTGGACAGGACGAGATAGAGAGGGGTGAAACCTCCAACTCAATTGTAAGCTATATGCACGAAACTGGTCTTCCAGAAGAAGATGCCCGTCAATACTTCAAAACTTTGATGGAGAAAGAATGGAAAAACTTGAATAAATACCTAATTATGGATTCTATATTCCCTAAGTCTTTTGTTCAAGTTGTCATTAACGTTGTTCGGAGTGGTCATTTCATATATCAAAATGGAGATGGATTTGGACGACAAAACAATATAACAAAGAGCACAATTAAGTCAGTACTAATGTACCCGTTCCAACTAATGTGCCATGACGATATTCAGAAAATAAAGTTTTAAATTTTAGTTTTTTTGTTTAAATTTGTTAAATATTTTCTTTTGGAATTTGTTATATTTCAATTTCTTCAGTTATGTATCATGTTTTAGTGACCAGTAAAGTGCGGGTTTCATTCTAATTTAACTGCTTCTTATCACTTATTTTCTTTCTGATTTATACTGAATAATTTAAAAAAAACCATTAAATATTCTCTTTTAATTATTTTTTTCTTGTATAATGAAATTATTGAAATACTACTCTTATGATTATTTATCACTTTTAAGGTCAAAACGGGTCATCGATTCAATCTGGTTCGATCCACCACGGGTTAACTACGTAGTAAATCAACCTAACACGGTTCACTTATTAGCGAGTGAAAAAAATTGAATCCAATCTAACCCACCACATATTGGTGGATTAAACGAATTGACTCAATATTTTATTTAATTACAAGTTTTATTTTTCAATTAAGAAAATAACAAAAAATTTATATTTAAAATCTAAATAAATGGGAAGGGTTTTAAATTATATTTATAACCAAACGAACATAAGATCTCATTTACATCAATATATCACATAATCTTCTCAACAAAAACTTTTAGTAGCTTTACAACAATTCAATTTTTTTTTATAAAAATTGAGTTACTAAACATAAATTTGTGAATTTTTCATATTGTTTTTCGTACAAAAATAATTTCATGCAAACCCCTATTTCAATAGTTTATAAAATGACAAATCCAACAAAAGATACTTATTAAAAAAATTAGGTGACAAATTATTTGGGAATTAGGTTCATAATTGGTCCGTATCAAAATTTTAGAATTTTTTTTCAATCCAAACCTATGTGAACCGAATTAAGTCACATATTCCAGTTTGTTACGAGAACACTAATTTTTAGTCTAATTAAAAATATATTTAGTGACTACAATTTAATTAAATATGGATAAATTTAGGAACCTCAATATTTATAACGGTAACTTATGGTATGGTGTGTATTCAAAATTATGGATTGACAAATAAAATGATGAGTTTTTTTCCATACGTATAACCTACTCTAATTAATTTAAATATGAACGTAAATATTTATTATGATAAGTTTATAATTACTAACTAATAAAATAAACAATAAGTGTACAAATTAATAATTATTAGGATCATCAATAGAATTTGATAATTGATAACTTGTGCAGTTGTATACTTAATAATGTTTTTTAAAAATCATTAGGAAAAAAAATGAACTAGTTTTACTTGGTAAAAGCAAAAGTTATTTACAAAATAATTTTTATAAAAATTACACCTTATAGGATTTATGTTTTTCTCTTAATATCTTTGCTTTAACCCCTTAATTCTTGAAACCATTAATACATGAACAAAGTAATGAACAAGTCTACTGGTACTTTTTTTTAAAAAATTAATTTATTTTTACAATAAAACCACATCTAAAAATTAGAAAATGGTCTCAGAACAATATAGTATAATATATATATATATATATATATATATATATATATACATATACGTTTCATATAAAGAAAGTTCTACTTAATGTTAAAAATAATCCATTACGAAAACTATCAAGATATAAACTTAAACTAAAACTAAGCAATGTTCAACAACAAATAAAACTATTTCTAACTCTATCTTTGCAGAAGATAAGTTGTCCACTCCTGCCTTATCTGCCTAATTGTGTCCTCTGGTATACGAGATGTCCTCTTGAAGCGCTGCAAAATTGAAGAAAGATTCAACTATTTCTAACTCCATCTTTGCAGAAGATAAGCTGTCCACTCCTGCTTTATCTACCTAATTGTGTCCTCTAGTATAGGAGATGTCCTCTTGAAGCGCTGCAAAATTGAAGAAAGATTTATATATGTTTGAAGATGAATTTGATTTATATATGTTTGAAGATGAATTTGATTTATAATGTATTCAAGGTATATATCATTATCTGATTCCAGTCATCTGTAATGACAGCTCGAATGATGATCTTAATTTAAATTTGAATTTATTTGTTTAAATTTGTTAAATATTTTTTTTTTGGAATTTTTTATTTGAATTTCTTTAGTGTCATGTTCTATAATAATTAGTAAAGTTCGGGTTTCATTTTAATTTAAATGCTTCTTATCACTGTCAATTCGAGTATTTTCTTTCTGATTTAAAGTGAATCGTTTAAAAAAAACATTAAATATTCTCTTTTAACTAATATTCTTTTTTAAACATTAAATCATTTTAAAAATCATTTAAGTGAATGGTAATGTACCCGTTTTAATTAATGAGCAATGACGATGTTGAAAAAATTTGAGTTTATTTGTTTAAATATATTTTATATATTGGTTTGCGGTTTTGTTATTTGAATTTCAGACTACCATATTATGAAAGTAGTAAAATATGGGTTTCGTTTTAACTCAACTACTTATCAGTATCAATTTAAGTTTTTCCCATTTTTTTTTCTAATTTAAATTGAATCATTCCAAAAAGAAAAGCATTACATGTTTTCTTTTAGAAATATAAAACTTATTTAAATATGAATGTAAAGATTTATTATATTATGATAAGTTTATTGTTACTAAATAATAAAATAAAACATAAGTGTAAAGTAGAACTTAATAATTTAGGATTATCAATAGAATTTGTTAATAGTCTAAGGTTTTAATGGTTAAGGTTTTAATTCCATTCTTTAGCCTATTCATTTGATAGAGGTTTTCTTAATGAATAAGTGAAAAGAGTAATATAAAAGAAATGTAAACTGATCAAAAAAGTTTTTTCCTTAAAAATATTCTTAGGTGGAAAAACTCAATAAATCAATCGTGTGTTATTATTTTTTTATTAGCAAAATTAAAATTATTAAATAAGGACAAAAAAACAAGTAATTAAATTAATTGATGAAACATATAATATTGGTTTCATCTTAAATTATATCCTTCTACCAAGTCATAAGATAACTCTTTTATATAAATTCAAAACTTTATAAACAAAAACTTCACATCAAAGAGAATACCATTCTCAAATCAAACATTTTCCAACAAGTATCATACTCATTATATGAATAATCATTCAAAACGTACCATAAACCATATTTTAAAATTTAGGATTAAAATAAAAAATTATCTAGAATTAGCTTTGAGGATGCACTTTCATCACATTTATAAAGGTTGCTTTATTTTATTTAATACCAAGGATTGAGCTATACCTTTGTATATAACTTCAGAAAATAAAAACTAAAGACTTATCAAAATCGGCAGAAATTCATTTCTCGAACAATCAATTGTCATTTAAGCAAGTATTGTCGGATAGGAGATTGGTAGTTCTTTATTATGATTGGCGGTTTGTCGGATAAGAATTAAACTTTCATTCTATTTTATATATATTTTAAAATTATTTTATATTGATATATTATTTATATTAAGTTAATTTTAAAAAGTTTTCTTAATTTAAAAACCAGTTTTCTCTCTTTTCTTTATTTAGTTTTGATTTCTCTTTCACCTTTTTTTATCTCAATTTTTTCATCCTCAATCTCTTATCATTTTTAAAATTAAATTCTATCACAGAGAAGTTGAGAAACTAAAAAATATTTTAGATTGAATTTTTTTTCATTTGAGTGAGTTCATTTTCTATTGTTATTTTAAGCCATATATTTTCTTATTTATATATAACTTTTCTTCATTCTAGTACACATATGTAATTCTTAATTAAAATCTTCTTTGTGTACATAAACTATTTTAGGTTTTGAAGTTAGGTAAGAAAATAGTCATATTAAGAATCTAGTACTTTAAGGTAAATGAAGCTAATCATTTAAATGTTATTAATTTTCTTGAAATATTGAGTATTGGTTTTGAGATTTAATTTGGAATGTTGATAAATTTATTTTTTCTAAATAAATGAGGGTGATAAATTTGTATTAGAAAAATTATAATATAAAAAGCAAATGAATTGATTTTTTTTCATGTGTGTTTGTTTTAAATAAAGAAAATGATGAGAGAAAATAAAAACTTTTTTAAAAACAAAAATAATAATTTATAAATAAAAATTTAATTTTTCTTTGCTCAAATGGTTGGCTTATAGCTTGAGGCAACAAAATCATCAAGACTGACTAGTTATAATGTTCTACACTTAATATGTAACCTCGCTTACTCAAACAAAATATATATATATATATATATATATATATATATATATATATGGAGTTTGCTAACGCGCTTACGCCTATATTTCAGTTGGTACATTTTAGTAATGTGTATCGGGTTTTAGTAGATAAAAATACCCTTATATATCATGAATTCTAAGTTTTAAAGTTAAGGGAATTTTAATAATTTCATTCTCAAAACTAAAAAAGAAACCCCAAACCCTTATTCACCGCTCTCATTCCTCTCAACCCTTTCTCTTTGATTTCTCTCACTCCAACATTTTCTCTGTCATGCCTACTATAGCCCAAATTCAAAAAATCAGAAACACTTGCCGTTAAACAATCTTACAAAAAATAAACAATCTTACAAAAAATGATTTTATAATGAGTTTTCATTTTATAATTTTTGTCTTATCTAATTTTATCCGATTTTCACAAGTATAAAGGAATTAGTAATTGACCTGGAAAAAATCAGAAATACTCGTCGTTAAACAATTTCTTACAAAAAATGATTTTATAATGAGTTTTCATTTTATAATTTTTGTCTTTTCTAATTTTATCTAATTTTCACAAGCATAATGACATCAAAGGAATTGGTAATTAGCCTGAAAAAAATCAGAAACACTCGTTGTTAAACAATTTCTTACAAAAAATGATTTTATAATGAGTTTTCATTTTATAATTTTTGTCGTATATAATTTTATCTAATTTTCACAAGCATAATAACATCCGAAGGAATTGGTAATTGGCCTAGAGGGTTTTTTTAGAGATGATGATTCAACATATGTAGATGATGAAATTAGAGAGGTTAGTGAAGATGGTGAAATTGAAGAGATCTTGAATGAACCTTTGCCTGAAGGTGAATATGTCAATGACTCGACTCTTTACAAAGGCAAATTGTTTAACAGCAAGT